TATATATATAGGCCTAGGTTATTCTATTCAAACTAATTATTGTGTTATTGTATGCATAAATATGAGCCAATCAATTTTACTTATTTTAAGAAAGTGATTAATATATATTATTGATTTAAATATAATTGAAAAATATCATCTTAATTAATTAGAAGGGTAATTTAGTCAAATAATATAGATTTAATAAAGGAAACTTGCATTTTTTAAGGGATCATAGATTCTATTAATTTTAAAAATCCGATTTTACGAAGTATAATTTTTTTAATTCGGACATTCTGACAGAATATGTTTATGAGTATATTCAAAAATAAAAATATTCTTGTACCATAAATAATAAAAATATTCTTGAACCTATTTCTTGATCATGAATTTAAAAACTTCTTGTAGAATAACAAATTCTTGAACAATCAATTGAAGAATAAAAACAAAAAATACATTATTTCTTAGAGAATACGGGTAACAATTGTTAAGAATTACATTTATTGTTAAAGAATAAAACTAAAAAAACTTTCAAAACGGGAAAGAAAACATCAAAATCTAACAACGATTAAACATTCTAAAAGAATAATGTTGCTTAGAATCACTTTCACTTTTATGGCCTGTTCTTAAAGCATCAACTTCTGTGATTCCAACAGAACAGGAATTCGTAATTCAATTCCAACAGAATTGGAATTCGTAATTCAATTGCAACAGAATTAGAATTCGTGATTCCATTCCAATAGAATTGGAATCTCACCAATATCATCCATTGAATCAACAAGATAAGCAGAAACTGAATCTTTTGTTGCTGTTCTTTGGGAATCATTGAAATAAGCAGGAACTGTTACAACAACTTTTGTGACCTTATCATTCATAAATTTTGAAGCATCGTCCACAAGCTTTCTCAATACCTGATAATAGAGAAGCAACAAGAGAAACCAAATTAGGGCAAAAACATCTTTCTGTTACAAATTAAGAGGTAGAGGGAGCACTGGTGTACCTGTGCTGAAATTTCTTCTGCAGCAAACTGTTTTTCAATGGCAGGACAATCAAGCTTAACGTTTCCGTTCTCGTCACGCACCACCGTATACGAAATCTGCTTAGACTCCTCGTCCACCTCCGACATCTTCCTCCCGAAAATCTTTTCACTGAGAAGAAGTTGTTTTAGCGAATTCGAATCAAAGAAAAAAAAGACTCACATCACATAAATACAAACGAACCTTCAATGCACACATCAATCGAAGGATTCATGTTATCGAATGCACAAAAAGCACAAAACATCTCAGAATATTAACCCGATTATAGCCCAGACAGGGAAGATGAACAAGAGAACGATACCGATGGTGTTGGAAATGCCATTGCTCTTGGCGAAAGCGTTCTTGAATCCTCCAGAAGCTCTGATGTGTTCTTAAAGCAAATAGCATCCGATAACCAAGTAGACCTATCTCTGTTCTTCGTGTACGCCACAACTGATGGCGTCGTCCTCTGCCCCTCGGCGTTGGTAACGATGACAGGCTTCACTTCGTTGCTTCAGTCTCGTCGACCCCGGAGACGCTTCCTTAGCCTGCAATCGATCGACATCCATTGGACCTTGCAGTCGCTTCGTGCTTTCCTTCTCACCTTCATCGATGAATTTGGGGGAAGTTGTTTATAAAAGGGGATAAATTAGGTTAAAATCAACTAGCATAATTATAAGAAAGTATTTGGGGAAGTTGTTTATAAAATTACCTAATTACCCTTAGTTATTTATTTAATTATTTATTTATATTTTAATTTTTGATTGGCCCACATTTATGCATACAATAACACAATAAATATTTTAAACAAT